ACCCCCCTACCTCCCCACCCCCAGCACAAAATCTGCTGGTGGTTTTATTACCCGATTACTTTGGTTTCACAATGTAGAATGTGTTGACTGATGCGAAGTTAGAGGGGGGACCTAGGATAACTGAACTTCAGTCTAGCTATAGCCAGCTGTGTGCTCTCAGAAAAGAGCGCTTTTCTTTTTCTCTCTGAGCCTCATTCTCCTTAACTGTCTCTTGATGCAAGGAATGGACTAAGTCAGCATTAGCTAAAATTCACTCATTGTTGGACCATGATCTCTGGTTGCTTGTCAGAATTACATACCACATGTTCATATTTTATATTTACATCCCTTTAAAAGTTAAGTTTGCTTCAAAATTTTTATTACCTACATAAATGGGATAAAAAACATACACAAAATGAAAAACATACACAACAGGGAAAATACAGATAATGAAAATAAGACAATATTTTCATTCATCTAAACACGCTTGCCTTCTGACACAATCCTGTTTCCAGATCTTTGTTAAAATGGGGGCTTACTAAGCGTTAGAGAAGTTTAAAGACTGTAGGACAAACTTCTGCTTGATGTAATCAGAAGGATTGAAAGAGCCGGAAGGGGAATGACTTTCACTGGGTGAGGACACACGCTACTTAATGCCCGTGTTCCACATGAAAATATCCTCATATTACTGCAGGGATATGTCCCACACTTTGTGGGATCCAGGATTTGGTGTTCTCCAATAAGCCTTCCCCTCTAAGCTTCCCTCATTCTCCATGTCCCCTCTGTGCCTTTCACAATTCCTAGAAGCAGCCTTCCAGAATGAAGGACTCAGTGCTGCAGTTTTTTAAGTCTCTGTGCCAGTGTTGCCTTCACTTCGCATTTTACATTTGCATGCCTGCTGTTCTCCATTCTGGATGTGAGCATTTTGCCTTCTCTGAGCCATGAAGAAAGTAAAAGGGAGAAAAGAGTACAGAAGAACAGGGAGTAACATCCTTTGAGCACTCCCTGGGTGTCATGCAGCCCTTTAGGAGCTTTACTATTCTGACAGCTCTCTGAAGTATCATCCCAGTTCTATGGAAAAGGCAGCTTCAGCTCAGAGAGCTGGGCTTTTGCTCGGGGGTACAAGTCAAGAAAGAGCAGACTCAGACATGCATCCTGTCTGCGTGACTCTGTGTCTTTCTGTTGTTTCCTTTCACTTTGTCTCCTAATCAGAGTCCCATCTCTCATGGACTGAGTTGTGTCCCCCTCTGCTGTGGTTTGACCCCTCTGAAATTCATGTTGAGATTGAATTACTGATGGGGCGATGTTGGAAGAGGAGCCTTTAAGAGGTGGGGCCTAATGTGAAGCATCTGCGTCATGGGGACACCACTCCCTGGGTGTATTGGTGCCATCTGGTGCTACTGGGCGAGTTCTTGTTCTTGCAGGAATAGAACAGTTATATTGAGAGTGGGTGGTTGTGAAGCAAGGTTGCCTCCCACATCTTGCCCTTTGGTGTGTAATGTGCTCAGTTCTCCTGCTTCTCTGCCAGTTTTTTTAGGGTGTTTTGTTTGTTTGTTTGCTATAAGGCACATGCACTCACTAGAGAAAGACAGAAAAAGGGAAAGTGAGAAATCGCCCCCCCACCCCCCCAGGGGCATGGCCACACCACAGTCCCTTCTCTTCTACTCTCCTCTGGGATTTTGGGCACACGCACAAATGTGCCTGGCCTGATTTTCAAGTCACTGGGTCTGGGGCTTGAACTATGGTTGGCCATGTGGGAATCCAGTGCCTTAACCACCATGTCTCCTGCTAGCCCCCTCTGTCATGTTTTGATGCAGAATAAGGTCCTTACCAGAAGCTAATCAGATGTGACCACCCAATCTTGAATTTCTGAGCTTGTAGAACTGTAAAAAATAAATTCTTTTTCTTTATAGATTACCCAATTTCAGGTGTTCTGTTAGAGGCAGAAAATGGGTAAGACATCCTCAAATTCATGTATTTGAAATCCTAACCCTGGTACTTCAGAATATGACTGTATTTGGAGGCAGGTTTTTAAAGAAGTGATGATGTTGAAATTGGTGCCATTTTAGTGAGCCCAAAACTGACCCGACAGGTGTTCCTGTAAGACGCAGAAGTTTGAACACACAGAGACACCAGGGATGTGTGTCCAGAATAAAGCTCATGTGAAGACACTGTGAAAAGGTGGCCAGCTAGAGGCCAAGGAGAAAACCTCAGAAGAAACCAGCTCTGCCAACACCTTATTCTTCGATTTCCAGCCTCCAAAAGCACGGGACACTATTTGGTTTTTGAGCCACTCCATCTGTGATATAAAGAACTTCAGAGTTTGTGGAAAAAAAATTGAATTTAAGTACAAATTTGCTTTGGTGCAAAAAAATTAAAAATTCATGCAGTTTTTCACAATATGCATGTCTTACAAAATGATTGAAGACCCTTCGTATTTTGTCTTGGCAACTCTAGGAAATGAATACACCAACTCTTACAGTCGTAAACTAGTCCATTGGACTCCCAACTGTTTTGAATTTCACACTGGACTTGAACATACATGTAACATGTAACAATGTACACATAAGTATAGGAGTATGGGTGACACAATAGGACATTCACAATACAAAACAAAGCAAAAAGAACTGGAATCACAGGACAGCCGTGGTGCATAGTGATTAAGGCCCCAGGGCCCCACATGGCAGACTGTGTGGCCTGAGTCCCAGACTTAGCACCCTGAAAAAGAATACATGCTGGATGTGTATGGGTACATGCATACCTAAAATCCTAAGAGGAGAATGGAGGGGAAGACACAGTGACGTGGCTATCTATACCTGGGGGGAAGGGTTATTCCTCTCCCCCCAAGTCTCTTTCAGGTAAATGCATGTGCTCTAGAGCAAAACTGAAAACAACTAAAAAGAACTGGAATCATGGTTTCATAAAAGCAAGGGTAACTTAACATTAAAACAGAGGGAAGAGAATAAAAGGAGGCAGATCATAACTTCACAGTAAGACCAGCTTAGCCAGAAGTCCGTGGGATGTACCTCTGTTTGCTGTCGCCTATGCCGACACAAGGAAAAGCCTCCCTTGGGTTTAGCTGTAACTCCCGATGAGTTGTGATCAACGTGGCATGTGTCCTTCTGCTATTTTCTTAGGGCCACCCCTCATTCCGTAGCTACCTGTCCATCACAGAACCTTGGAGATGATAGCAGGAGAAAATAACGTGTTTAGAAGAGACAGAATAAAGCAGGTGTGCAAAGAGAACATTAGGAATGAGAGTCCTGAAAAATCACATGGCGTGGGGCCTGGGGCTGGCTAGACATGGTGTCCCATCGCCCCGGCACACTGAACCTATCCTGAGAGCCACACATTTGCTGGAACTACCACTGCTCAGCCACCTGGGACCAGGAGCCTCCCATGGGACTGAGGGGAGACAGCAGGACTTGATAGACTCCCAAGGTCTCCCGCCCATCCACAGAGCTGATTACTTCTTAGAACAGATTCACGCTAGTATAGTAGGGGAAGATTATCATTAAGCCATCACTTATTCACAAAAAAAAGAATTAAGTTTGGGGTCAGTAGGTGGCCTGGAGGTTAAGGTGGTGGATTACACATGGTAACCTGCCGCAGTTCAAGTCCAGGACATGACAACTTGAAAGATACACTGGGTGTGTGTGCCCAGAATCATGAAAGGAAAGAGAAATGGAGGAGAAGAGATTGTGGTGTGATTGTCCCCCATGGGCGGTGCTTCTTTATTTTTCCCCTTTCTCTCTCTTTCTCTCCAGCTATCTTATATACTTGGGGGGGGGGTGAATAAATTTTGTCTTTCTTTTAAATATGCATTATAAGAAGAAAAAAAGAGATAAAGAAGCAGAAAAAAAGTTATTGTAAAATACTTCCATAAAATTGTCTCAGAGCAGTGGTGTCCACTTTCTGTAGTGTTTACCCTCTTCAGGTAAACACAGACTCTTTTTTTATTCCTTTCCAAAGAAAATATAATTTTGAAATGTAACCTGCTATTCAAGGCTTGAAACTGTTACAGTTGAGGGCCAAAACAAAACAAGATAAAACTATCTTCCTTAATAAGTTTGCAAATACAGCATTTTTCTGGAAACCCAACCCAGGTTGCATTTGTTGATTCTAATATTAATTGAATAAAGGAGATTGAAAAGCTGGTAAACTCACCCATAAAGAGAAAATCTGTTCCAGAACAACAAGGTGATTAACCACTTTATAGAGCCTGATGCGACCACCTCATTAAGTTTTACTACAAATTCTTGACATAAAGTCTGCATTTCCAGGAAGACAACCTGCCTAAGTGACCTCACTTCCCTACTGGATCCCAGTACACCCGTTGTCCTCCTCTGTCTGCTCAGTATAATTAAAAGTGATGGTCTGTGTGTCCAGAGCCCAAATTCCTGGCTGATCATCAGCTCCCTTCAGAATACATGGATCACAACCCAATAGCTTTGCACGACCCCTGTGTACACAGATTTGGAAGGCAGCAGCATGAATTCATGCTTGGATTGTTACCTGAGGAGCTTGTCCAGGGTCAGGAAGAGCAAGAAAATTCCTGAGTGTCCACAAACCAATGCCTATGGCCAGCGACATAAAGAAAGCAATGACAAGCAGAGGACTTCCGGCACCATGGTCCACCCTGCAAGCCGGATTCCCTGCCTGCTGCCTTCTCCAAGTAGCTGATGTGACATTCAAGTCATTCTTTTTCTCCAGGATAAACACTTCTAAAACACACAAAACCGTTAGAACAAAATCCACATTTCTTCTGGGTAAGCTGAGAGATTACAGTTCTGTGCCAACATTTGAAATAGGAAGCTGCTGAAATAGGTTTGCCAGATAAATGCAGGACTCCCAGATAAAGTCAAGCTTCAGAGAACAACTGATCTGTGTGTGTGTGTGTGTAAGTACGAATGTTGCACGGCACACGGTTATACTCGAAATGTATTCATTGTGTGCCT